GAAGTAATTTGCCATGTCATTACCTTCATGTTGTATAAAAAAATATTGTCATAACAACATCGGGGATGGACATCACAGGGAAAGTTTAGTCTAATAGTAGAATCTGCTACTTCATTGGCGAATTCTTGGGAGAGTAAGCTGATAAGTGAAGGCAGCAAGATGGTGGACATAAGAATCGACGAGGATCTCAGACGTTTCTTCGCCGATGTCATCTCCAAAGCTTGCTTCGGGAGCACCTATTCCGACACCAAAGAAATATTTGTCAGGATTAGAGCTCTGCATCAAGCCATGCCCAACAAAAGCCTCCTCGTCGGCCTTCCTGTCTTGAAGTATTAATTGATTTTTTCTGATTATTATAAGTAAAACATCGATCCATTAGATTATTTCTATTATACATCATGAATTTTCTGATGGGTAAATTTTTTTATAGATATCTGCCGACCTATAGCAACAGAGAGATATGGAAGCTAGAGAAGGAGATCCGGATGTTGATCCTAAAAGTGGTGGAAGAACGAAGACGGGGCGCACGCCAAAGGGATCTTTTGCAAACCATCATTGACGGAGCTAACAACAGCGGCCTTCGTTCCGAATCCGCTACCAATTTTATCGTTGACAACTGCAAGAACATCTACCTTTCTGGTCAAGGAGTCACCCCCATGTCTGCCTGTTGGACCTTACTTCTCCTAGCTGCCCATCCTGATTGGCAAGCTCGTGTCCGTGATGAAGTCTTGGAAATCTCCGGAGGACACCTTCCCAATCCCGACGTGCTTCCTAAAATGAAACTGGTGAGTGCTTAATTATCTCCACCAAATGAATTAATAGTTAGTGTTTTGTAATCCAGTGCAATTCAGATTGTAGTTTTGTTGTCAAATTAAGTTTTATTTTGAACATGTTTTAAGAAGTTATTTTCTTTATGGGTTATGGCAGTTGGGCATGGTAATTAAGGAAGCAATGAGGTTGTATCCAGCGTTCGGATTCTTGTCAAGGGAGGCCTTGGAGGATATTAAACTTGGGAGCATTCAAGTTCCTAAAGGAACCAATATTTGGTTTCCTATACTTGCCTTACATCGGGACTGTTCCCTCTGGGGCCCTGATGCTGATGAATTTTGTCCAGGGAGATTTGCAAAAGGAGTAGCAGCGGCTTGTAAGGTTCCACAACTCTTCATGCCTTTTGGTGCTGGGTCTTACGTTTGTGCAGGACAACACCTTGCCATGACTGAGCTGAAGATAGTCACGTCTCTCTTGCTATCCAAATTCACATTTTCCATCTCACCTAAGTATCAGCATGCTCCAATGTTTAGGTTGAACATTGAACCTGAGGATGGGGTAAACCTTCTCGTGAAGAGGATATAATATTATAGGGGAGTGGGAACAATGTAAGCCTGGAATAAGATAATAATATTTTATAGTAAGAAACAAAAAAAAAAAAAAAAAA